TTTAATTCATGTTAGGTTTCATATGTCATAAATTTAGTCGTTGTATGGCATCTTAAAGCATAAATTTTAACTATTTTGGGGACTATATGATAATTTTTTTTTGTAATTAAAAGCATTATACGACTTCAATTTTATTCCAAAAAAAAAAAGGATTATAAGGGAGTGGCCAAGGGTACCTCTAGACCCGAAAGAAAGAAAAACCAACACAACTCACACAAAATTATAAAAAAAAACCTAAGTACTTGAAGCCACAAAATACCAAAAAAAAAAACGAAAAACACACTAAACCACATGAATAAAAGGAGTAGCAAGCTTATCACTCCAAACCAAACAAACAAGGACCGAAGGCAAAAGGACCTAAGGCAACAAATTAGAAAATACCGCTCTTTTTACATTTTTAACTATTTTGGGGACTATATGATACATAATTTTAAGCTGATATGCAATATATTTAAGCCTTTTTAAATATCATATGGCACAAATTAAGCTTGGTTATACATGTAATGAGAATTTTATGAAATATTGGTTGTAGTATTTGTTGGCATGACACATAATGTAAAGCAAAGTTAGACATTTTTTCGACACAAATATATGTATTGACGGAATTCATTAGACTAGGTTATGCCAAGAGTCATATGTTAAACTAGTTTCATGTTATTCCTGTAATTTGGTTTGCTTAACTAAATGTATTAGTCTACTTAATTTAATTAACTTTTTTTATAGCATTCTTAATTCTAACCCTTCAAATTTCAATAAAAAAAACATAAGGATAGATTATTTTGAAGTTAGAGAAATATAAACAATGGAATAAAAGCAAGAGTTGCATCAAATGAAAAGATGTGTTGGACATATGTTGTGCTTGATTCTAAAGTCATTGATATAAAAAAAGAACATTAGTTTGCGCCTTTTAATATATTTTTATTTTAATTTAATAACCATTTGTACTAGGATCTCAAGCTCTAGATGTAAAATGTAGAGGATTGCGTTATGTAGTTGAAAAGCAACATAAAATTTTCTTAAAAAATCCTTACAAAAATCATTTAAATCATTGTGTAAATGCTAGAAAGTCACATGGACGCAATGCATGGTATGGTATAAATACAGTAAAAAGTGTTCAAGGGCTGCTACATCGGGGCCTGGATGTAGTGTCAAATAAGCAATGGTTACCACATTATGGATAGATGCAAGCAAAGAAGTTAGTATCTCTCATAAAGAATGTAAATCTGGATAGATGCAAGCAAAGAAGTTTACTCTTTAGATCTTCCTGATATCCACTCCAGTAACTATCATTATATCAAAAAATATTATATTTGTTTGAAAAGAGCAAAGCAATTCATTGTTGATTATATCTTTAATGTATTAAAGTATTCTCTTAGAAATCTTCAAATGAGTTATCGTTTGAGCTTCCTTGTAGTGATTGATTACTCCAACTACATAAGTAATATATGTCATTGTACAAATTAAGTAGCATTGACTTTCGATGAAACATTTGTAAGGACTCAAATATTTTTGGATTATGATTTGTGAAAAACAAGTCTTCTACATAAGAAGAGACAATTAAAATATCTTTATGTTGATTTTTAATTTAAAGTGCATGCTCATGTGGACATTTAATGATTTCTTTTTCTTTGAAATACTTGTCTGTTTATGTATTCCAAGCTTCTGGTGCATATTTTAAACAATTAAAATCCTTATTCACTATTAACATTTTTTGTTTTCCCTTTAACTAAATATCCCAATGGTTGACTTCTTCTTCAGGAACTTCATTTAAGAAAGAAAACCTTACATCCATTTGATGGATCTGTTGTCCATGTTGAGATGCTAAAGAAAATATTAGTCTAATGCTTTCAAGATGAGTGACAAGAGAAAATATCTCATTATAATCAATGTCATATTTTTATTTTCTCCTTTAACCATCAGTCTTGCTTTATATCTCACTATATCTCCTTTAACATTATTATTCACCTTAAACACCAATTATCTCCAATTGCCATGTGTTCTTGTGGAAGTGTATCAAGCTCCCATGTATCATGCTTTGCGATTACTTTAGTTTATTCTTCCATTACTTCTACAAAGTTCTTATTTCTGTCTGCTTCTTGATAGCCTAATGCTTCACATTCATTAAAAAGAAAAAAAAGAGTAATGTCATCTTGGTTACTAGCCTAATGCTTCACATTCATTAAAAAGAAAAAAAATAGTAATGTCATCTTGGTTACTATATGCCTCAATAAGATTTTGTAAACTTCTAAAGCTTGGTATCTTCTTATTTAAACTTTCACTTAAAGATGTTGGTGATGTCAATCTTTCATATGTTCTTGCTGAAATTAATGCAGTGATGGGCTCTAATAATTCTTCATTTACAATCTCTTATATTCTTGATTGTTCATTTTCTTCTTTTTTTTTTAAAAGTAAGGAAGAAAATAATGTTCATGTTTTTATGTTCGCTAATCCCAATTTTCTTTTTCATCAAACTCCACATTACAACAAATGAGAGTTTCATCATTAATTGGAATATAGAGTTTGTAATCTTTAAAACTTGATTCAAAGTCAATGAACACATACCTCACACTTTTATCATCAATTTTATTCTTTTTTTGTATGGAATGTGAACATATATGACACTTACGAGGACTTTAAGGTAAGAGATTCATAGTTTCCTTCCACTCCATACTTCTTGAGTGATCTTTTTTTGTACAGATCTTCTAAGAGAGTGAATTGTTAGCTAAATCATACAATTGCTGCCTCTACTCAAAATTCTTCTGGCAATCTTTTACTTTTAAGCATGCTTCAAGCCATGTTAAAAATTATTCTATTCTCTTGCTATCCTACTCAGTTTTGTTGAGGGATCTTAGCTTTGCTAAATGATGATGAATTCCATGATCTTCACAATACCTTTGAAATTCAAAGGAGGCAAACTCTTCTCCATGATCAGATCTAGTGGCCATGATGTTAAGGTCATTGTTATCTAATTTATTCTTCCGAAAATAGAACTGTATTTTTTTTTCAAAAAAGCATCAACAAATAAAAATATATATTTACTCTGTCCAAAAGATATTAATTTAATAGGGTTACAAACATCGATGTGCATGAGCTCATTTGGCTTGGTTACTCTTGCAGTTGACTTCTTTTGAAAGTTTTTAAAAGATAGCTTTTCAAGTAAACATCCCTTACAAAGTTGATGTGATTGATTGATGTAAGGCAAGCCTCTCACCAGCACCTTTCATGATAGAAGTTCAAGACTACCAAAGTTGAGAAGTCCAAATTTTAGGTGACATAGCCATGGTGATTCATTATATCAAAATTTAAAACTTTTTTGCAACATCACACTACATTTAAAGAAGAAGCATTTTATTTTTCAACATAGGTACTTTAGCAATCAAATTTTTTCCTTGATCTCTTAAGAAAAGAATATATTATGTTAAGTGAATATCAATTTTTTCTCTCTAATAATTGACCCAAACTAAAAATATTATTTTTCATATTGTGTACATAGCAAACAATTGAGAACATATTTCTTTCTCTACACATATGATTGCTTGTATTAGTGTTAAGATACCGCCTATTTGTTTAGTCTTTATCTTTGTCTTTGCATGCAAACAATAAAGTACCTTTTTATTTACTTTTATCTTTTATAATATTGGCTTTCTCCTCCACTATGTTCGAACATCGACATTTCACAACATATTAGCCAAATTTTTTACAATTATAGCATTTAACTTTTGATTTATCAAATATTGGCAAGGAATTTTCTCTTCCACGACTCTTTGCTTTTGTTTATTTCCATCTCTACATCCTTTATTGAAGTTCATGGAATTTTTATATGACTTATTGCTTCTCTTTCTACTATATCACCTTCTCTTCCTACTATATCACCTCATATTGTCCAAGTCCTCCTTCTCTTTTTTATTTATCATTGACAAAGTTTTCTTCTTTCAAAATGAGTTGAAGAAGTTTTACCATTATTTCTTATTGTTTTTTCCTTCTCTTTTATTTTTTTCAGAAGCATGCAAACAAAACAATAATTTTCTTACACTCATTATTGCTAAAACGCTAGTTTCTTCAATAGTTATTACAATATGCTCAAAGTTTTTAAAAGAGAGTGAAGAATTTTTTATATAATTATTACTTCACTCACATTTTCACAAATTTATTTTAATTGATCTATAATAGTCAGCACTAAAGAGAAATAACCTGAAATTAATTCATATTCCTTCATGAATAAAGTCAGCACTAAAGAGAAATAACCTGAAATTAATTCGTATTCCTTCATGAATAGGAGTTCAAACTAACCTCCAAAATTTTGAAGGAAAATATTTCTATCTTGCTCTACTCTTTTGTTACAAATTTGACGTTTCTTTCATGTTTTTTTTGTTGCGGTTGCACTTGAGATATTCTCGAACTAATCTTCATCAACTGCTTGATAGATGAAATAGAAAGCCTTATTGTTCCTTTTTCTTGAATCTTTTAGAGCTTCGTTTTGAGTTTTAGATATAACAATATCAACTTGTTCTATATAACCTTTCAAGATGATATCCCACACATTTTGTGCTCCTAATAGAGTCTTCATCTTGATGCTTCAATTATTGTTATTGGTCTCTCTAAGTGTCAGAACTTGGAAGGGAATCATTCCTCCATTCGCCATCATGCTGAAACAGCTTTATTGGGAAAAACTTAAATTTTTATAAACTCAATATTACAAAAGACAACTCTCAAACTCACACAAACTTTATTTAGAAGCCCACAAACCTTTTCTTGAGACTTGATTCATAACCATAAATAATATAGGGTATTTATACAAGTTTATAAGTAATGAAATAATGAACACCGCATATAGTCCACCAACTAAACTAATATCACTCCTTCATTCTTCACCTACCACACCCATCACATACATATGCATCACATCTAAGGTAACATCAATTTTTCAACATATAAACTTTTCAACAAGTTTAAATATTATTCAAAACAAGTTAATTTCTAACATAGATGAGAGTGTGTGCACTAAACATTAGAATAAAGCATTATCAAGTAAAAAATAGTGAACAAAGAGGCTGCCTAAATAATCTTTATAATTTTTATTTATTTTTCAATATAACACTAGCTCTTATTCAAGTTCTGTCCCAATATTCATTTACCAAGATACAAGCAGGAAGAAATATTGCATACATTGTCTGCAACCAGCAGTGAAGTCCTTCCTCCCTTTTCAAATCAATTATGGTCAGGCCATCCGTTCCCGATTTTGGAGAAAGTACTGTTGAGTAGGATGAGCTGGTACATTTTTTGAGATGGATGAACTGCATCAAAAAATACATGCGACAAAATGTTGCTACATAATTTCTGACCTTTGCATGTTTCCCCGTATTCGAAAAACCCGGTGCCACAACAGCCCTTCTCACCATCGGTAAATCCTGGCAATCAATCACTAATTATTTCTGCATCTTCGATAAAATGTTTATATGCCAAAAAAAAACCTTTAAAGGCTGTTTATTTATCGTTATTTGAAGTAAATTATTATGGATTTTAGTAAAGAAATATTATATATATATGTATGTATGTATATATATATAT